CCAATAAAAGCCCTTTCCAGTAGGTGTTCAGTGGGGATCCAGCCATTTTTTCCTGAGTCTTCCCACTGCAAATTCTCCCCCCCTTTTTTTTCTTCAAGTGGAACAAGGGGGACCCTTACCACTAACCACTTCCTATCTGCTGGGATGGTTGACCATGGAGAACCTGCAAAGACTGGGACCTTATAGCCAGAAGCTGAACTGTCATTGTAGCACAAATCACACATCTCATAATTATATTCATAACATTCCAGTATCTCACATCTCACATGCCCAGATTTTAGGTTACTAGGTGGCCTGGTATTGGTTGTATACTGGGTCTACACACTTGGGCCCTATCTGAATTGTCAGAATGGAAGTTGCTTTACCCTTCTTCTTGATCATGAGGTGAAGACTGTTGGGATCTTTCTATCATGGACTGGAAGACTGGTTTTGGAGTGTAGTTGACCCACTGAATATCTGCACTCATCTACTGTTCAGTTGAGGTTAACACTTCCTAATAAATTGTGCTTTCCTCTTGCAATAACAATAATAATATAATAAATAATTTTCACTATGGAAGCATGTGAACAGCTTGGAGTAGTTTGTGGGTAATGTAATTAGATTGTGTAAGGTGAGCCCCACATTCCCCAAGTGATTTACAATGGTGCAAATAGTAGTTAGACATGATTCAAAGGGCAATAAAACAATAAATTTGAATTATAAATAGATATATACTGTTATGAGTTTAGAGCTACTTAGGATATACAAATGTAGTTTCATGTTACAATTTGAAGTCATTCTAGAAAGACAAAAGGGTAGTTTAGATTTATTTTGTGTTTTTTTTGCAGTTATGAAGTTTGTCAAATTGACCAACCTTGTATAGAGTTAGGGTAAAGAAAATAACAGATAAAATATAAAGATTTACTAAAAACAAACATTTGAAATGTACTTAGGAAGTTTTAGAGATTAAGCAAATGAAAAGAAAAGTATTTTTAATCTTAACATGAAAATCACTTTGTACTTGGACTAGTAAAAAAAACTGGATATATTCATGGACAAATCTTTTTTTAGTTGATTAAAAATACTTCACTAAAAAAAATCTGATTTTTTTGTATGTGAAAGACTTGTAATGTTTACTGAAAGTTTGCCAAATTTTGTGAAGATATGCATACTATATTATAAGTTAGTAATATCCAGTGGCGTAGCAAGGGTTCTCAGCACCCGGGGGCAAAGACACTTTTGGCACCCCACCTCTGAAATGTTTTGACTATT